GTGATATACTGCGCTCCCTGTTCTTTAAAGTGTAGCACATTTACAGGGAAATGCACACGGCGCGGGGGCCCACTCCCGGGGTCGCTGGCGCTGCGCTCGAGGTCCCTGCTCTACGCCCCCTGGGTGCGCCCCCTCCCCTCACAGCCTCTCCCTTCGCGCCCCCTCCCAGTGCCTCCCCCAGCTCCCCTTTTCTGCGCAGCCCCTTTCCTGCGACCTTTCCCCCACGGCCCCTCCCCGCGCTCTCCTTCCCCATGCAACCACCTCCTAGCGCCCCCTCCCCGTGCGCCCCCTCTCCTGCGACCCCTCCCCGTGCGCCCCCCTCCGAGCGCCCCTCCCCGTGCGCCCCCGCGGTCCCTCCTCCGCGCGCCCGCGGTCCCTCCTCCTCTCGCCGCCTCTGTGCGCCCGCGGGGCCGCCTCGGTGCCCGTTTACTGCGCGCGGCAGCCACTCTGGAGCCGGCGCACATCTGGATGGAGTCAGGCCCAGCGCCCGGGCCGGCGCCCAGCCAGTCCCCACCCGCTGGATTTCCTGATGTAAACAGAGCAAGAACACAGCAACTCTGCTGAATGTGTCACGCGGCGCTCTTTATCTGCTTGGGGTCAAGACGGCGACTTAGAAAAACAGAAGCGTTGCTTTGAATTTAAACAGCTAAGAGCCAGAGCCGAGACTGGTCCTGCAGGGGGGAGGGCGAAGGCCTCCAGACCCACCTCCCGCTTTTGTGCCTACTTGTTCCACTTTATGGTAATTTGGGGGCTAATTTCATTATCTACAGCCGAATTGGAAACAAGATGCTGTTTCTGCTAATGGTGCTGACGGCGTGTGTGAGTTTCTGTGCAGTGGGTAGAACCTTCCACCCGTCCCCGCCGCCCCCAGCCGCCCCCGCCGCTCTCAAAGCGCGTTATGACGCTAATTCTCGCAGCCGGAAGCCTCCTGCCATGTTTCTGAGAGGGCCGCATCGCTTTCTGTCACAGAGCGCCGACCAGGAGCGCCTTCCCTTCCTGGGTTCCCAGGGGGGCCCAGGCCGGGGCTGGAGGGTAGACTTCCGACCCCGCTCGGCGGGTGTATGTGCTTCCTTGGCCGTTTCTGGCCCCGTCGTCTGCGCCCGGGTGCCTGGCTGGCCCCTGCCTTTCCCTGGAGCTGGTGGTTCCTTCTGTCCTCTGGCAGGGGATGAGGGCTTAAGGATTTGGGGTTCTGAATATTCATTAGCTAAAAACAGCCAGCTATAAACCATGACAAAGTCATATTGAAAAGATGGTAAAGAGGGACAATAGAAAATGATGGCGGTGCTTGGGTTGTCTTCACCAACAATTAACACGAAGTGTAGGCGGTTTCCACCTCAGTCCCAAAGTGTTTCAGCCGCCCGGTCTGGAGATCTGGCCGGGGGCGTTGTCCTGGCCAGGGTTCCCTGGCCCCGAAGCCGGGACTTGTTTTTTTTTTTCCCCAAAAGTCCTTAAGTGGAACTGAGAAGGAGCTGCGCTTGTCTGAGGGCAGGCTTGGCGGTGGGGATGGGGCAGGCTGACTGGGGCCGGGGCAGGCTGACTGGGGCCGGTAGCGTTTCCGCTGATCAGCTTCCTGGGGAGTTTTGTCTAAACGTCTGAGGTCAATGGGCCCAGGCGGTGGCTGGACGTCAGGGCGCTGGAATGCTGAGGAGCCTCGGATGCATCACAGTGCTTTGAATAGGCTACCAGGGCACCGTTTCCTCCCACAGACTGTATCTTGATGAATTTGCCAGAAATTGGGCCAAGACTCACAGAGAGGACCGAGGTCCAATTTGGCGAGTTGGCTGTTAGTGGCTCCGCTTGGTGGTTTGGTTAAGAAGATGGAGCCAAAACCCAGAGTGAAAATGAGGTTCCTTTAGAGCCGCCAAAGGCAGACGTGAGGTTCGCCTGATGCGCCCCACCCTGTGCTCTGTTTACCTGCTGAAACGTTGATGGCAGGATTCTGCAGTGGCTTCCTGTGATGGAGCGGTCCTGCCTTTCAGAGGTCTGGCCGCGACTGCCGGACCTCTCAGTCTATTCAGAAAACAATCACGTCTCCCTTTTCACACCATTAGATTTTTACCAAAGTTTCAGGGGACAAGCAGGAGGTTCCAAAGAGACCAGACCAGCATGGCCCCTTGCTTACTTATTCCAGCCTCAGTTTGCTCATCTCTAACGGATAAGGAAATCTCCTTCTCCAGGTTAGCAGACGTTACACCCGGTGATGCGTGTGAGGTCACCGCCTGTTAACCAGGGTTACTACACAGGGTTTTGTAAGAAAGGCTTTTATGCTGCAGTTGGGTTTAGTGGTTCTGAATTTTTGTTAGTTCCTATCTATTACAGACAGGAGGACAGTTTGATGTCATGCCCTCCATTCCACACACTCACCTTGTGTTTTCCAGGAGCTCCTTGATTTAATGATGGGACAAAGCACTTGAAATCAGGAGCTCACCACATTTTCCTGCTGTGCTCAGGGGCCAGCAGGAACTGTGTGTGTGTGTGTGTGTGTGTGTGTGTGTGTGTGTGTGTGCAACACTGGCCCTATCACAGCTGTTTTACTGTAATTGAAACTTTTATCAAGGAGGCTGCAGATTCACATGTGGTTGAGAGGGCTGTGTACTCTTTACCCAGTTTCCCCTGACGGTAACATTTTGCAAAGCCACAGAAGGATGCTCAGCCAGGACATTGATATTGACACAACTCACTCACCTCAATCTGGTGACTTGCACTCAGCGTGTGTCTATTTGTTCCACATGGCTGTATCCATGTGTGGGTCGTGTGGACACCACTGCAGTCCAGACACTAACTAAAACAGTTCCACTGACACAGGGTCCCTCTGTGGCCTTTTGTGGCCACATGCACCCCTCCTCCTGTCCCAGTTCTTGGCAACCACCAACCTGTCCTCTGTTCCTAAAATTCTACCCTATGCATGATCCTTTGGGGACTGTTTTTCTTGCTTAGCATAATTCTTTGGAGATTCATCCAAATTGTTACATGTACTAGTAGTTTGTTCCTTTTTATTGCTGAAAAATATTCCATGGTATGACTGTTTTGTAGTTTTTATCCATTCACCTGCTGAATGACATCTGGGCTGATTCTAGTTTTAGGCTATTACAAGTAAAACTGCCGTAATATTTGTATACAGGTTTCTGTGTGAATGTTAGTTTTCACTTCTCTGGTATAAATGTCCAAAAGGACCATTGACGATTTGTATGGTAGTTTAATGCTTAGTTTCAAAGAAACTGCCCAATTGTCCTCAAGACTGGCTGTGCCATTTTACCTTCCAACCAGCGATGTATGAATGACCCAGTTTCTCCGCACCCTGGCCAACCCTTCAGTGTTCTGATAAGTGTGTAGTGGCCTCATTGAGGCTTAAATGTTCATTTCCCTAATGCTTAATGATGTTGACTATTTTTCCCTCGTGCTCGTTTGCCATGTATGTATGTTCTTCAGTGAAATATCACTATGCTTTGTGCTCATTTTCTGATTGCATTGATTTTTTTTTACTGTTAAGTTTTGAAAGTTCTTTCTGTATTCTAGATACTGGTCCTTTGTCACATGCTGGATTTGCCAACACCTCTTCTCCATCTGTAGCTCATCTTTTCATTCTCTTCACGTGAACTTTCACAGAGCAAAAGGTTTTAGATTTTGATGAGGTCCAATGTATTGAATTTTCCTTGTATGGCAGTGCTTTTGGTGTCAAGTCTAAGAACTCGTCGTTTAACCTTAGAGCCTGAGGATTTCTCCGCGTCCTTTTTATAAAATGTTTGTAGTTGTACGTTTTACACTCAAGTCTATGACTTAGTTTGAATGAACTTATATATAAGACGTGTAGGGTGAGTCCCCTCCCCTCCTGCCCAGTTTCATCAGAACCACTTCTGGAGAAGGCTAGCTTTCCTTCCCAGAGTCACTTCTGCACCTTTGTCAGACCTCCGCTGAGAATATTTATCTGGCTCTGCTTCTGGGCTCTTCTGTTCCTTAGATCTGTGTGTCTGTCCCACTGTCTCCCACTACAACTCTTTGTGATTACTGTAGCTGTGTTATGTAACTTGACGTCAGACTGTTTCCTCCCACCTTAGTCTTCTTTTTCAAGTGATTTTACCTTTGCCTGTGTCTTTCCATAACAATTTTAGAATTAACTTGTCTATCTACAAAAAGTGTTGCTAAATTTGGATAGGAATTGAATTAAACCTATAGATTCATTTGGGACTTGACATTTTTATGATGTTGAATTTTCCAGTGCATGAATGTGGTATGCCTCAATGTTTGTCTTCTTTCATTAGCACTTTGTTTCATTAGCATACACTTTGTAATTTTTAGCGTACACTTTCTGTACATGTTTTGTTAAGTGTATATCAAAGTATTGTGTTTTCTTTGCAGTGATTACAAATGATTATTTGTTTTAAATTTAGTAATTTCATGTTCATTGTTGTATGTAGAAATGTTATTGATTTTTGTGAGCTGATCTTGTATCTTGTGACCTTGCTATACTTACTTTTTACTTCTAGGATTTTCTTTTGTAGATCCTCTTGGACTTTTACAACAGACAATCATGTCATCTACAAATATAGTTTAACTTCTTCCTAATATCTTTTATTTTTCTTGTCACTGCAGTGGCAGAACTTCCAGTGCCATATTGAATGACAAGGGTAGAACCTTGCCTTATTCTTGATTTTAGTGGGAAAGCACACATTCTTTCACCATGAAGAATGATTGTAGCTGTAGATGCTAGATGCTCTTTGTCAAATTGAGATCATTTTCCTCTCTTGCTGATTCCCACCCCCGCCTTTTTTTAAAAATCATAAATGAGTGTAGTGTTTTAGTTGCTTTGTTGTGTCTAGCTCTTTGTGATGCCACAGACTGTAGCCTACCAAACTCCTCCGTCCGTTGGATTCTCCAGGCAAAGATACTGGAGTGGGTTGCTGTTCCCTTCTCCAGGGGATCTTCCCGAGCCAGGGATCAGAAGTGGGTCTCCTGCATTGCAGGCAGATTTTTTACCATCTGAGCCACCAGGGAAGCTCTAAACGAGTGTAATGTTTTGTCAAATGCTTTCTCTGCATCAAATAATAGGATTGCTTTCTTTTGCTTGTTGATATGGTAGAATATATTGATTGATTTTGAAATACTGAGTAGCTTTGCATATTTGGAATAATCCCAGTTGGTCACTTTGTACCGTTCTTTCTATACACTATTGGATTTAATTTGCTGATATTTTATGAGGATTTTGTGTCTAGGTTCATTAGTTATATTGATCTATAGTTTTCTTTTATTGTCTTTGTCTAGTTTTGGTTTCAGGATAATACTGATATCAGAAAATGAGTTGGAAAGTGTTTCTTCCTTTTTCATTATCTGGAAGAGATTATATAAGATTAGTTTTAAACTTTTCTCTTATAATTTTCTTTGCCCTGAAGTCTACATTGTTAGCTATTAATAGAGTTATTACTGCTTTTTTAAAAAAATCATGTTTATATATTTATTTCCATATTTTTTGCTTTCAATCTGCCTGTGTCATTACATAAGAAGAGAGGTTGTTTTGGTAAAAGCAGTGTACATTTGGAGCATGTTTATTTTTCCAGCCTGTTAATCAGTATCTTTTGATTAGTGTATTTGGACAATTTGCATTTAAGGTGGTTTCCAGGTATGTTAGTGCTTAAAAGGACTGTTTTATTATTTGTTTTCTCCAACTGTTGATCTGTATGTCTTTGCATTTTTCCTGGTATGTTAGCACTATTTTAGGATTCCCAAAGTGATTTATCATTATTTTAGTGTGTCTCTGTGTACAGGTTTTGTAGTGGCTGCTCTGGGTATCCAGATGGACATATGTGACTTGTAACACTTAACTGTATCAATATTTTATATTTTCAGGAGTGAAAACTTCACATCCATTTAGTTGCTTTTTCCTTCCTTGCTTTTAAATAATTTTTCCTTATGAATTAGAACATGTTATGATTTCTGTTTTATCATTGAATATAATTGATAAAACTTGAGAAAAGGATTGTTGTGTGTGCCCAGTTCTAATCTTTCTGTTGCTCCTTCTTCCTTCCCAGTTCTTTCTTCTATCATTCCCTGTCTGCTTGAAGGAACTTGTTTAGAAGATCTTTAAGGGTAGCCTGTTGTTCAGTTGCTCAGTCATTCTGACTCTTTTCGACCCCATGGACCGCTGTTAACTGACTCATGAATGTTTCCCTTTCTGTGAAGTTTGTTTGAACTTGGTACCAGGCTTGCTTGTTTAGCATCCAGGCATTTCTCATGGTGGCAAAAGCATGCTTCTGGGTGGGTTCCTTCACTTTCATATTACAGCTCTGTTTTAATTTAATGACCCAACACCCCGGGGCTCTGCTGGCTGTGTTACCTGTGTTGCTTCCCAACAGTATCGATGTTCAGAGAAGATTAACTGGAAATTTGCTGTGAGTGTCAATCTTTTGTTTCAAAAGAAATTCATGTTTACAGCAAATTGCTTTTAAAATGTCACTGTGGAAACTCCTCCTTGCCATTCAGGGAAAGAACTGAAGAAAAATTAGTATACTGTGTTAAGAATTACCCTTTGCAGTGTCTACTGAACAGCTTTTAGGATACAATTCATTTTGCCTCCCCAGTTTTTACTTTAGTATTAATTTTCAGTTATACAAGAGTATTGAAGTAGATGATGCTTTTGGTTAAGCAATTTGTGGGTCAGTAACCTGTTAAGTAATTTGTCTTTGAATCTTCAGTTACTTCAGTAACATTTCTACCTATTCTGAGAAGGCTATTTAAACCAGTTAGTTCTTCTCTGAACTATCAGATTTAAAATTGCTGTAAATGAATGTTGCTTTTTTACTCATGTGAATTGAACCTGCCTTAAAACCCTCAACTGGCATCCACAATGTGATATCCTGCTCACATGCACAAGACTCCAGACACTGTCTCTATAAACATGTTTTATTTTAAAAAAGCTGGAGACTATTTCACTTATGGAGTTGTTTCCATGTTATTATTGAAAGAAAATTCAGAGTAAGGCATTTCTTGGAAAACTAATGCTGGAACTGTATTACTGATTTAGATAACTTCCCAAATAACTCAAAATATTTTACGATATTTCTTTACCTGCCTTTTTTTCCCACTAGAAAAATCAAGGCCATTGATCCTATAGAGAGACACCTCAGAGATCTCATGGGTTTGGTTCCAGGCATCGCAATGAAGCAAATACCACAATACAATGAGGCACGCATGTGTTTTGGTTTCCCAGTGAAAATAAAAGTTGTTTATTCTATATTATAGTCTATTAAGTGTGCAACACTAGTACATCTGAAAGAACAATGTGTGTAGCTTAATTTAAGCATACCTTCTTGCTAAAAAATGCTCACCATCAGTGGACAATATAGAGTGGCTATGAATCTTCACTTTGTAAAAAAAAGTAGCATCTCCCTTTGAGGCACAAAAAAAGTGCACCTGTGCTCCTTTCATCCAGGTGGGACACGCCCATGACCTGGACATTCCATCCCAATGGTGCTGACACACCGCTGTGAATTTCAAAGGGACCCAGGAGAACCAAGAAAAGTGATTTAGAGCTGGCCGTCTAATGATTCTGGATCGGGGCTGTTGTGAGAGGCTTAGTCGGCCAGACAAGAGGCCTAAGATCAGATTAGAGATGGAAGATGTGTGTTAACTTGGACTTGAGGCCCCAGACGATGAGGAAGAAGTCCCATGGGTCAATTTCTGGTGTATCTCTGTCAAAAGATATTTTTCATGAAAAGGTGAAAGCGAGATTCTCATAGTGATGTAAACATGTGCCTGTGTTGAAGGTTTTGTCTTAACTCTCTAACCACTGAGGGAACCAGGCAGGTGTTAAAAATGGTCCAAAGGAAAGGCGAAAAGCACAAGTTTATTTGGAGTTAAGTTTGTGTGGGCAAACCTGATTTTTCTACAGGAGCAGTGAACTCTACTGAAATTCCACAGTACAACTGCAGTTTGCATACCCATCCTTCTCCGCAGTTTATGAAGAGAAGTAAAATAGCTGGCTGACAGCAAGCCAGGTGAAAAGTCAGGCTGTTTTGGGGGGGGGGGGTTGCTGTGGACTTGCAGCATTGTCATCAAAGGACATTTTTTCGTCTCCTGTCTAGGTTCCTTCTGCTGCTCTACACTCATCATTGCCACACCCCACCACCCCAAAAAAGTGAACTGAACCAGAGAAGGAGCACAAGACAAAAGTCCTGCTTGTGCCATCCTTCAGTTCCCTGGGAACAAACCAAACAAGTGAATATACATATTACATTGGAATGTGAGTTACAGTGGAGTGGGCATTCCGTTCTCAGTTATGCCATTTTATCGCTCTGCCAGCGAGACTCTATCAAGCCCCGTGAGTTACTGAATGAATCCTGCCTGGTGCAGGAAAATCAGAATCCACCACTCAGAAAGTAACAAAGAAGTAGATAAAGTAACAGAAGTAGGTAAACTAGTCACAACGTCACATCCCGCAGAAGAGGAGTATGGACTGCAGCATCTTTTCACTCGCCTTCTGATTGCAGAGTCTTCCTGCCTCCTCTCAGAACTGCGTCCTGCTGGCCCTGTGGACGGTGAGGGAGGTGGATGCCTGCAGAGGAGGAAGGGACTTCACAGCCTGGCTTTGCTGCCAACAAGCCGCGAGTCTGGGCAACTGGCAGCTCGCTAAAGGCAGGTCAGATGGGTCATCTCTGAAAGCGGGGCATGTTCTGCCCCTCTGGTGAGGGTTCAGAATGTCTTTCCTAAGTACCAGTGAGAACTAAACAAGGCCACAGATGTAAAGCTCGGACATGAGATGCCCGGTAGATGATGTCAGGGCCTCCCGATTACTGTTGTTACTGGTGACTCAGCGGCTTCCCACGGGGCCTGCGGCCGGGAGGAGAGAGGACGCTCATCCCGCCCCTCCTGCGGGTGCCCCGCTGCGCCTGAGTGGGGGACGGGGAAGGGCCCTTGGGGGTCTGTTCAAGACCATTTACTGGAGGAAGATGTGGCCCGCCTGTTGGTGACTGAAGCCTTGTAAACACTCCTGCAGCCCAAGAGATGGGGGAACGTGTGACTCCTGGAGCCTCCCTTGTCGTCATGATGAGATGACATGTCGGTTTCATTTCAGACTCTTTCTAAGGAGACTGAGCCGAGCATTCAGGGCCTTCAGGCTGGTGGAAAGGTGAGTGGGGCAACCCTGGCTTCCCTGTGTCTGCAGGACTCAGGGTAGAGTCTCGTGGCCAAGCTCGGAGAAGCCCTGGGCGGCTGAGAACAAGCCGCCCTCTCATCCCCGGCCTGGCTCGGTGAGCTCGGGGGGAGGCAGAAGGGCAGCTGGTCCTTGGGGTGTCCCTGGGGAGCTGGCAACACCCCTGTTTCCATGTGTCCCCCCCAAGGCTTGGGGTCAAACCCGAGGAGGAAGTGCTTCTCCCCTTTGGGCTGCAGCCCAGCCTGTGGTCAGAGATGCTGCTCCTGGTGCGAAGGACACACAGCCGTGGTTTCTGGACCTGGTGGCCTTGGGCTGAGGGCTGATGGGAGAGTGGGGGTGTCTGGGCTGGCGGGGCAGGCAGAACCCCATGTCTGTCCGGGAGGAGGGCGGACACAGCAAGGTAACCCTTGATTTAAACTCGGGCACCGAGGTTCCAGCTGTGGCCATCTGCTTGGGTGTCCTTTCTAGTGAACCCTGCCCTGCATGCTCAGCCCTTCTCTCTGCGGTTTCCTCGTGTGTGGAGGGGATTGACATCGGGAAAGACTGAAGGCAAAAGAAGAAGCGGGTGGCAGAGCGTGAGATGCTTAGATAGTATCACTAACTCAATGAACATGAATTTGAACAAACTCCTGGAGACAGTGGAGAAGAGAGGAGCCTAGCATGCTGCAGTCCATGGGGTCGCAAAGGGTTGGACGTGACTTAGTGACTCAGCAACAACAACAGCTGAGACAGTGACTAGAGCCTGGTGAGCACGAGTCCTGGGTGTGGACCGAGCCCCTCACTGCCTGAGCCCCACCTTGCAAACTCCAGCCTCAGCCACCGAAACAAGGAATTAGGGGGGAAATTTGTGAAATTATCTGGCACTGAGCAAGTGCTCAATGAAAGTGAATTAATTTTTTTTGACTTTGCCAATGCCCAGTGTTGATGTGAGTTCTTCTAGAAATTCAATTCTAAATTCCTAATAAATAGTATGTTTATCATCTTTATCTATTGTATTGTTCAGTTGCCCAGTTGTGTCCAGCTCTTTGTGACCCCATGGACTGCAGCATGCCAGGCTTCCCTGTCCCCCACCATCTCCCGGAGTTTGCCCAAATTCATGTCCATTGTATTGGTGATGCCATTCAGCCATCTCACCTATCATATTATTTGTAAATTACTTACAACCAGTTTTTCCTTGAGAACCCTTACCTGAGCTCTGCACCACTTTGTGCTCCTTCTGATCTTATTTTTCTAGGAATGTCTTGCTCAAGCAAATGGCCTGACTGTTCCTCCCGGGAACTTCTGTGGTGTCCACACTCACACCCAAGAGTCAAGCATCGCTCACTGAAAAGTCGGGTTCTCTGGGCTGTGCAGTCAGGGTCCTCACCGGCCCTGATCCCCCAACCTCAGCTCCAGCCTCTGCCTGTTGAGTCTGTGGCATTTGAAGCAGGTTTGTTGTACTCTCCACATGCTGGATGGTTCAGAGAAGTTGCAAGATCTAGAATCTGAAAAAGTTTGCATTTTGCGTTTTACATCTTAAACTGTTGTTTCAGTTCTGGATTAAGATTTATATATATGAAAATATTTCAGCTTCCTGAGCTCCTTCTAAAGTAAGTGCAGCATTTTTTTTCAAAGTTCAACATACACCTATCCTGATTTCTAAGAAGTAACCTCTGGCCATTGACTGGACACTGACGGACTAATCCCTCATGGTCTGTAGTCCTCACGGCCCCTGACAGGGTGTTGTCTTCAGTCATACCTGGACACCCTGCCCTCCAGACAAAGGCCTCCCTGGACAGCATGGGCCAGCCCTCCCATCTCTTCTGCCTCCTCCATAGACGTGTTCCGGGCCCAGGTCTTCAGGGGCCTTGGGCTGCCAGCCCTGGGCAGTCAGAAGCTCTATGGGCCGGTTGGGGTCTCCTCTCCTGGTCTCCGATGGCCCTATTGCTGGCGCCCCGTCTTGCTGGTGGCGGTGAGAGGCTGTGAGCCTCAGCCCCCGAAGGGAGAGAGGGCATCCTCTCCTCTTTGTGAGCATTCTCAGGCTTCTCGAGGGTTTCTCAGGAAGCACCAAGGCTGCAGCCTTTTCTCGGGCGGGTGGCCTCGGGCAGGGTATGCAGGTGTCCCATCCCCCCCAGCCTGGAGTCAGGAAGTTTCCCTCAGGAAGTCCTCAGTGAGGTCGCCCAGTGCTTCTCCTCGTGGCTTCTCTTAGGGAAATGCTGCATTTTGGTGCCAGAGAACCTCTGCTGGTTCCTCTGGGTCCCCCGGGGATGGGAGACTGGGATCCTGGGTGTCCACCTGAGGTGACTTGGTTTTGGGAAACACATTCAGCTCCCACTCAAGTGGCCTTTCTTAAACCGTGAAGGCATCCACGTGCCCTTCCTGCCCCTCTCTATCTCTCTGTCTCTCTGTCTCTGTCTTTCTGTCTGTCTCTGTCTCCCCATTCATCTCTGTGTCCTTGCTTCCGGAGCTGTGTGCCCTGGAGGCAGTTATCGGGAACTCTGCTCAAGGACGTCTGAGTCTTAGGAAAGCAGGCCCTTCTCAACTGTCCAGAGCCTCATCTGGGTCACATAACTTTTCGTTGGGTCTTGACCAGAGATCACTTTTATTGGGAATAAGTTATTACTGCTAAGTACTGCTTTCCTAATCCTTCTGGATATTTAAGAATCTTCATCAGAATATTCATCAGAAGCAAGTGGGCACTGGTAACTTTTGGTCTTTTCTAAATAACTTTGTCCAGGTGTAGCAAGAATTTATTTCAATACCAAGACAAGTTTTCATTGTGTTGTTTAAGATTCACTTATTTGCAAGTGATGGCTGGGAGGGGCGTGTTGCTAAGTCATGTATGGAAAACGTCCCCATGTTTCGGGACAGAGGTGATTTCCACACTCTGGGTGGCAGAGTCAAGAGTTTGGAGATGGGGTGTCCCCAGTGGTCCTCACTGGGCTCCAGGGGGTGCGATTCAGGGCCATGTGAGTAAAACCAGGTGTGACCTTACATCGCAGAGGGTGCATCCACCCAGCGAAAACACATCTCTGTTTTGGGAACATCCTAAGTTATAGAAACCCCGCAACATTGAAAGAGAATAAACATTCTTTAAAAATCTTAAAGTGAAATGTATTTCATCCAAATAATGTCTTGCATGATATCATCTAAACATTTTGGTTCGGGTTGTTCTTTGCAATGGAATTAACTTTATTTTTTAAATTAGTGGTTTTCTCTGGATCCTGTTCTGCCAGTTCATGGTATCATTGCTTTGATTTCTGTAGAATTTCTAAGAATCTTCATTTCAGATCCAGGAGTTCTAGTTTCCTTGTTACAGAACAAAACAGCATTTGATAGACTTTTAAAGAATCTACTACTCATGGGATTCTCCAGGAAAGCCTACTGTAGTGGGCTGCCATTTCCTACTCCAGGGGATCTTCCCCACCCAGGGATTGAATCCACACCTCTTGTACCTCCTGTGTTGGCATGAGCCTCCTGGGAAGCCCCTTGTCCTGACAAGCACATTCTTTCTGCCTTGAGTTACGTAGCTGGGTTGGAGGACGCAGAATCCCCAGGCCTGCTGTGCCCAGGGCTCACCCCTTCGGGGTAGGGTCAGAGGCCTGTCTGCTTTCCTCCCAACCCCGGGAGATTAGATTTGGTGTCTGGCCAAATCCTTGGCTAGAAATCTCGAACAACAGGGCCTTTGCACTAACCGCCAAGTGTGTGGTCATCCCAGCAAATTTAAATGGACTTAACATGACTCTCATACCCCAGATGCCCTGCTGAGAGCAGAGGCTGGTTCATCAGCAGACGCGTGGGATCAGAGGGGCTCTCTCAGCAGAGTTGTTTCATCAGCACACCAATGGGGTCAGACGCAGCGAGACTGGGCAGCCTTGGCAGTGAAAGTGAAAGTCCCTCAGACATGTCTGACTCTTTGCGACCCCGTGGACTATGCAGTCCATGAAATTCTCCAGGCCAGAATACTGGAGTGGGTAGCCTTTCCCTTCTCCAGGGGATCTTCCCAACCCAGGGATCGAACCCAGGTCTCCAACATTACAGGCAGATTCTTTACCAACTGAGCCACAAAAGTGCGGAGTTGGAAGTCTGATGATGCTGGGTGCTGGGATCTGCCATGGTCTCTTCCCATCGAGAGGCATCCCCGCCCGTGCCCTGGGGACCACAGGCTGAACTTCCTGGGCTGTGCCCTGCCCAGGGGAAGAAAGTCCAAGAGAGGCCAACCTGGCTGCCCAAGGCGCTGTCCCCCATTGGTGGCCAGTGGCTCTCTGGGCAGGGCTGGCACGCGGAAACCCGAGGACGGCCAGGTGGGTGCGGCTGGGACTTCTGTCTGGGAGGACACAGTGATGGGCGTGACTGCACCATTCGGGCTGGACAGAGCAGAGAAGGAGTGCGTGGCAGGCAGGCGCTCAGGACTAAACGTGGAGGAAGGATGTGCTTGTCAGCCCCCCTCGCAGTACAGACTGCATCCGTGTGTCTGAGCCGGGGGCTGACAAATGGCCCATTGTGCCAGGATCGGGTTAAGTCACCCAGGCAGCTGACGGCTTCAGGACTTGGAAATGGCATTTCTCACCTCCTCTGCACTGGTCTTTTCAGTTGCTTGCCAAGTCGAAGGGGAAAAAAAAAAAATCCCTTAATTCTGGTTAGAAGTATTTCAAATGTTACATAAAGAGGCACTTGGCTGGTTAACTGGCTCAATTCTGCCTGGGTTTCGTCTCAGGAAGCATTTAAGCTCGCTCCCCAGGACTGCGTCCCTAGTAAACACCCTGCTTTAAGGGCCCTCTGCACACGTAGGCTCATTGTTCCGCCTAAGAACCATCAGTTTATAAAAATCACAAACACATTGTGTTTGCTGGAATATCCTGGTCTACATTTGAAAAGGTGTAATAAATTCCAGTTTGAAAACTCAAGTTCTCTAAGGTGCTTCTTTTCCTGTAGGTTCTGCACTTTCGCCTCAAGAGAGGCTCAGTCATGTGGGCACGTGGAGAGCCAGCTTGCCCACGTGGTGTGGCACTCTGCATCTGATACTGTAGGGGTTTTCATTCATCAGTGAAATTAGGAAATTCCATGACACTTTCTAATGTTCTCACTAGCTCACTTTTTTTTTTTTTTTTTTTTGCTGCACATTTATAATCGTGTAGACAGGACAAGTTCCAGTCTCCACTAACCACCTAGCGAGGATGTTGAGATTTTAAGCTATAGAAGTTGCTCTTGGTTTGGCCAGGTTCTTGCAGTTAGAGGAAGTGCTGTGTGCCCTGTTCTGGTGGGCTCGGGGGATGCCATGGTCGTGGGTCTCTGTGCTTTGTGGTGGGAACACAGCTCCACACCTGGTCTCAGAGCACAAGTGGAGACGTTCTCCCCGTCATGGGGGTGGTCCCCGGGGACAAGGTGCTGGGGTGAATCCGGCTGTGTTGGGGGTCCTCTCTAGCCACTGGCGCTTTGAGCTTGGAGTAGAACCTGCTCCCTGGTGGGCGGGTGGTGCCATGCAGGTTTGTTAGTTGTGACAAATTCAGTTCCTTCTGATATTCCTCTCCCTCTCTTTTCCCTCCCCCTCCCCTTCCTTTCCCCCTCATCCTCCCATTCAGGAGTTTATTCTAACTCATTTTTCTTGCTCTTTCATTTCAGGCATGATTTGTCTCCTTAGGAATTCCTTCTATAGTACTTGGAGCTTTGTGGATAAAGCAGCAGTCAGAGACGCCCTGTAGAAATGGAGTGGAGGTAATTAAAGACACACGAGTGTGTGCTCTTCCCTTTGAAGACTGAGGCCTGCAGGCCCTGCTCTAGATCTGTGTGCTCGGCTGTGACGCGGAATGTTAGCGGTGGTGGGGCAGGGCCTTCAGGTTGTCGGGCCTGGGCTGGGCCTGGGTGGGTGGATGGACCCCCGCACCGGTGTCCTGTCAGTTCAGATGAACTGCTCAGTCCTGGTCCCAGATCCTGGCTCTTCAAAGCCCAGGGTCGGGTTACATTTTATAAGAAGAAAGTCAGATTCAAAGACTGGCAGAAGATAATCTAGTCTTAACTCCGAGACACTCACAGACATGCTTTTGATATTTATGTGCTGTATTTTCACAACACTTTCTGTAGGTTGGGACTTAAACCTGGGAGGGTTCTTGCCTGAGCCAGCCTGGATTCCATCCGGTCACAGGCCTAGCCTCCCGCCCTCAGGGGCTCTGGGTCCACGACCAGGACCCTCAACTTGGATCCAAGCCCTTGTGGGAGCCGCTGCAGGGCCTGTGAGCTAGGCCCTCTGGGCAGAGGCGTCTGACGTGCTGCCTTCACTGAGCCCCTGGCCCAGCCACTTCACCATGGACAGGACACTGTGCTGTGGTCCCAGGGTCCCCAGGGTGCACTTTGTCCAGTTTGAAGGTCCAGACTCCAGCCTACCCTGTCCCTTTGAATCCCTGAGCATGCAGCGGGCCTGGACCCTGTTGTCTGTCCTCTTCCTGAGAAGCCTAGGCGTTTCCCAGAACACTTGTTGAGAGGAGCTGCCCCACTTGGGCGGCCATGAGCTGGGGGCAGAGCTTTGGAGGCTTGGGCAAGGGAGGGGCTGGGCACCCCGCCGAAGCCCTCCTCCTGCGGGCCCAGCCAGGCTCTGATGTCCACAGGGATGCTGCCCCCCTCCAACAACCCCCGCCTTCATTAGGGAAATGACTGTTTTCCTTGCATTCCAGGCTCGGAGTTCATTTGAACGTTTGGGGATCTGTGGGGACAGTGGCAGATGGGGCTGAGGGCCGGGGGGAGGAGAGTTGAGGGAGTAAGTAAGTGTCAAGGAATTCATTGTCTGCGCTCCACCTGTTGCTGCTCTGGTCCCAATCAACCTGCTCGCCAGGCTGGAGCCAGCGGACATCTGGAAACACTGCTCTGTTTATAAACTTGGCATGGAGCAGCGCTCGCGGCCTGACCTCCCACACGAATCTGGAAACAATTAGAGAAGATGATAGGCAGGCCCGAGAACGCTCCAGGGAGGAGGAGCCTGCAGGGGAGGGGTGCCCGGGGGAGCCCGCGGGGTGCGGGAACCGTCCTGGGGTGTAAGGAGCTGGGGTCTGGGAGGGAGGCCCGGGTGGGGGAAGGGTGCCCGGGGAGGGGGAGGGAGCCAGGGTGGGTGAGGGGGCCAGAGATCTGGTGGGGGAGTGGGGTACGGAGAGAAACGAGGGTTGGGGGGAACTTGGGGGGCCTGGACTCCAGGGAGGTCTGGATGGGACCCCGGGTAGGGTGTTTGCAGCCCCCAGCACCCCCAACCTGCCCTCACTGTGAGCTCGGAACCAGCCCATCGTGGACACAGAGAATCCAGGCCTTTCTGGTCCCTGTAAGAAAAACATCACACAGTCTCAGCTCATTTTTTTTAGTTTCGGAAACACATTCTTGAAAAGCACTTTTTAACCACAGGAAGTTTAAGCAATGTGCCATTTTCCTGCAGAAAAACTAAGAGATACTTGAAGTGCAGGGGGCAGTTCTCTAAACAGGGCAACCCTGGCCAGCCCGGTGCTGGGCCCCATGGGGTTGGACCCCGTGGCGCTGGGCCCTGGCAGACAGATGAGTGCCCCGTTCTGAGCTCCGGAGCCAATTTAGGCCGGAGTCTGCAGCCGCAGGAGGTGAATGAGTCTCGTCCTCTTCACTCAAGAAACACTTTTTTCTCTTTCTCTGCAGAATTGAAATGTGATTCCCAACCCAGAGTGGATGCTCTTTTCACGCTCAGCTGGGTCTCTAACTCCTGAAATATTAATCTGTAAGAGCTGCTGGCAAACCAATCATTGGCACAATTAACAAGCCCCTGGTTGGCCACACAGCCTTGAGGAGGGGAGGTCTTGGGGGTGGGGGTCAGCTGAGCCACTGGGAGGGTGGCCTCCCCCCAGCCTTGTTCCCACTCTGCCTGGTCTCCAGGATCAGCCCGAGTGCATTTGCTAAGATTTCTGAAAGTTGCTCCGTCCATGATCACATGTCACGTGTCAGCTCACATCCGGGCACTCTCTACTCTCTGAGCACAGAACTTCGAGGCCCAGCCTGGTCCCACCATCCACCCCCTTCACTTTTCTTCTTTGCATACATGTGTCCTTTCATACTCCCTTCTTCTTATGCAGTGGTTTCCATTTAGGACATAGGATGAGTACCATCTAGGGATGTGAAAAATCCAGCCTGAGGCCCCAGACAGAGTGGGTCCTGCTCTCTGGGCAGATGCAGAGCCCCCGGAGACGAAAACCTCATAAGCCAACTGTAGACTCGGTGCTTTGCTGCAAGAGGATTCATTTGAGCTATAATAAAAAGTAGTGTGTTTATTTAACCCCTGTAAGCTGATCTCCTTGGTCTTCATGAACTGGCTGGGCAGCTAAGGACCCACATTCCTTCCACAGTTAATAAAACTTCATATTTTTCTCTGTATTCATAAATTTAATTGCACTCAGACCCACTTAATCTACATTAGTTTTTGAAACTTTACCTAGATTAAAAAAACACAAGCACTCCCATCCCTCCCCCTCGACCCTCCCTGCAACATGCAGCATAATCATCATCTTTAAGTTAGACGACATAAATTGGAAATTTTACTGTTTTTGTCATTCAGAAATCATCTCTCATCTTTACAATTCTGACCTGGAGATTGTAGCGATGTAAAGTGACTTGGTCACAATTCTTCCTACTTTAATACACTTACACTTTAAGTCCTTCTATTTGTTCAACTTGATTAAAAGCCCACAACCAAAAGCAACAATAAAATCCCCACCAAGCCAGACCTAACGGGCTTCACCCAGGACCCCCTGTAAGTCCTCTGTGATGCTCGCACGTGCTGGGGGAGAAACTTCTTCCAGAGACCCGAGGAGGTGGGCTGCCCTCAGCTTCCACGGGGCTTCCTTCTGCTCCCTCTACCTGCTCATGGTGGGTTTTGAACACCAGTGACATTTTTAGAAATCATTTTGCTTTCTCTTGAGAGAAATAAATGTGGCTTCTCAGCCTGAGAGCTGGTCACCCAGCCTAGAAGCCTGGCCAGCTGACATCACCCCCTCTACCGTGGCCTCCCTTGTGCAGAATCTTCTCCAAACCCAGCGATTCGAAGGCACCTTCAAACTGCTTGTCATGAGGAAGCGCCCTCCTCCTCAAGAACCACAGAGAGGGCTGCTGCTCCTGGGCGCCACCTCGGGCACGGGGTGAGCTGAACGCTGCCTGACCATGTCCAGTGACTCCGCTGAAGTCTGTCGAGTGGCCGGAGCTCCTCGCTTTGCTGCTTGACCTCCGGTGGACTTGGGAGGTGCTGACCCTTGTCTGCCTTATTTCCTGGACCCTGCATGCTGTAGTTCAGCCACATGTCGGTGGGACAGCATTGCTCTCGAGAAGATAGGGTCCAGAGGCCTCTGCGTGCCTCCTGACTGCCTGCCTCTCCAACCATGGCCCGGGTCACTGTGCATTTCCACAAATGCTCTCCTCACTTTGAGGGTTTACGTTTGCTGCTCCGTCTGCTTGAAATGAGTGGCATTGGTGGTTCAGTGGTAGAAATCTTGCCTCCTACTTGGGAGACCTGGGTTTAATTCCCAGGCAATGCTTTGTGCTCACATTTCTTGGGCCTTCCCAGGTGATGCTGCTGGTACACTATCCATCTACCAATGCAAGAGATGCAGGGGTCAGGAAGATCTCCTGGAGGAGGAAATCGCAACCCGCTCCAGTATTCTTGCCTGGAAGATCCCGTGGACAGAGGAACCTGGTGGGCTACAGTCCGTGGGATCTCAGAGTTGGACGTGACTGAGCATGCACATGCACACAGGCATGTATACATTAATATTTGCCTCTGCCTGAAACACTCTTCCCACCACTTTAGGTCGGGTCCCTCACCCACTTCAAGAAGCCTGGGTGCTGAGGTTGGCTGACCAGCAGCCCATGGGCTCCTGTGTTTGCTCCATCAGGAGACTTACCACTGTCACTGCCTCGGTCTTTCACCAGCTGACCCCAGGCTTCAGCTGCACCAGCCGTGTGCTCACCCTGCGTCTGCCTGTACATGTGGGTGCTGGCCTTGCAGTCACATGAGCTGTTCCAGGACAGGGTGCCCGGGGAACAGGAGTGTGTGAGGTCCAGAGTCAGACTCGTGTTCAACACGGTAATTAATGGGAAGGCAACTGGAAAAGGAATATTACTTGGTCCTCCCTGGAGGTTCTTTGACGGTTCAGTTCAGTTCAATCCCTCAGTCGTGTCTGACTCTTTGCGACCCCATGGACTGCAGCATGCCAGGCTTCTCTGTCCATTACCAACTCCTGTAGCTTGTTCAGACTCATGGCAATCGAGTTGGTGATGCAGTTCAAACATCTCATCCTCTGTCATCCCCTTCTCCTCCCACCTTCAATCTTTCCCAGAATCAGGGGCTTTTCTAAGGAGTCAGTTTTTTGCATCAGGTGGCCCAAGTATTGGAGCTTCAGCTTCAGTATCTGTTCTTCCAATGAACATTCAGGACTTATCTCTAGGATTGACTAGAGGTTTGATTGACTAGAGCCCCTGATTCTGAGAAAGATTGAAGGTGGGAGGAGAAGGGGATGACAGAGGATGAGATGTTTGAACTGCATCACCAACTCGGTTGCTATGAGTTTGAACAAGCTACAGGAGTTGGTAATGGACAGGGAAGCCTGGCATGCTGCAGGTTTGATCTGCAGATTGAACTGCAAGGTTTGATCTCCTTGCAGTCCAAGCGACTCGCAAGTGTCTTCTCCAACACCACAGTTCAAAAGCATCAATTTTCCAGCACTCAGCTTTCTTTATGGTCCAACTCTCACATTCATACATGACTACTGGAAAAACCATAGCTTTGACTAGACTGACCTTTGTTGGCAAAGTAATGTCTTTTTAATAAGCTGTCTAGATTTGTCATAGCTTTTCTTCCAAGGAGCACATGTCTTTTAACTTCATGGCTGCAGCCACCATCTGCAGTGACTTTGGAGCCTAAGGAAATAAAGTTTGTTACTGTTTTCATTGTTTCCCCATCTATTTGCCATGATGGGACCAGAGGCCATGATCATTGTTTTTTGAATGTTGAATTTTAAGCCAGCTTTTTCACTCTCCTCTCTTACTTTCATCAAGAGGCTCTCTGACAGTTACCAGGCTCTTTACGGTTATAGGCACGAAACAGCCTTCTTTCCAATGGTGTTTCCTTCTATTATCATTAGTGATGAAAATTGGATTTATTTCGCATATTACAGTGCAGGATTTGATGTTGTTTTTATGTGAACGTAACTGCTCTGTAAAACCTCAAGCATTTTTCTCTCCGAGAATTGGCAGATGAGAGGTTATATAAACTTGTGGCCAGCGGAGAGGTTCCCAAAACATCGCAGTGGAGGCAGAGGAAACAGAGGGCAGGAATGCCGGTGTCTGGGTCCCTCCTGCAGATGGAAGGGGAGTGCTGGCGTCTGCTCTTTATTATGGGGCTGCTCTCCACCATGGGCTCGCTCAGGGGAGTTAGGCATTCTGCTGGAGGTCACACAGCCTCTCTGGGACCCTACTCTGAGTCTGCGAGCGAGAGTGGGTTTCTTTGCAGGGAAGCCCCCATCCCCATCCCTTATGCTCCTGGGCATGGAGACGGACCCCTGCTCTCAGCCTGATCAGCCTGGTGGTGACCACACGCCTGGTGGTGACCACATGCCCAGAGGGTCACACCCCGTAGGGGGCCCGCCCAGGCACCTGCTTTCCTGTTTGAGCCTGTCCTGCGTGGACACTGCTGGCCTGATCTCTGATCCTGCGGTTAATGTCTGGGGATTCCCAGGTTGGAGGGGTTCATGTCCTCACCAGTGATGAGAGCAGGGGAGGCTGACCTAGGGTGTCCTGCATCTCCATCTTATTACCATAGAATCCCCAGGGGAACCATCAGGCATGAGGTGTGGGGGCTCTAGGAATCCCTTGAGTGCCTCTGTCCCCCTGCTGGCTTCCTTCCAGTGCCTGGCCCACATGGGCTGTGACCCCTGAGCCTGCACTAACTCCCAGGAGGGTTCTGTGTGCAGAGTCTGGCCTCTCTAGCCCCCCGGCCCCTGTGGGTATTTCGGCCTCCTCTGGGGACCACTTCTCACAGTGGGCAGGGTGGGCGGCGGTGGTGGCAGGAAGATGCAGGGTGGGAGGCATGAGTGACTGCACGCGGAGTAAACACCCTCGTGACTGTAGACGTGAGTGCTGGTGTCTAGTCATTGGTTTTTACACCTGAATTCCTCCCGTGTGTCTCTGTGTTAACATGACCATGTGGGTCACAGACAGCAGTGGGCTTGGGAAGCGGAGTGTCAGCAGGAAGGCCACCCCCGAATGACACCCACCTCCCGAGGGAGGGTCGTGACCCCACTCCATCCTTCTACTCCACTCGGGCGACACCCCCACGCATCCTGTTCAGAGGCAGCTCAGATCCGGCTGTTTTCCTCCTGTTTTTCATCACAGAGCATGAGGGAAGGCCAGGAGGTGCCCATCTACCCACGGGGTCTGGATGAGGCCTGACTGCTGTCTGCAGAGAGGGGAGGAGGCCTCGCTGGCCCTCGGACTGCCCACGGCCCCGTCAGTCAGTGGCCTGGGCGCCATCTCGCTGGCCACCCGTCTGCATATATGGTCCCGGTGAGAGCATGGGGCAGAGTCACAGGAAGGGAACCTGAGACATGGACGCCCTCTCCGGAGAGCCTGTCCCTTCTACCACGTGGGTCAGTGTGATCACCATGGTGCAAGCCCATCATCACTGCAGCCAGGACCCCAGACAGGTCAAGTTCTGTGCTGGACACAGAGCTGAGCACACACTTCCACCCACACGTGTCAGGCAGGGCCCATGGCCGCTCGCCGTTCTTCTGTGCTTGAGTCTGGGCTTTGGGTCTGGAGCAGGCTTCTCGGCCTGTCTGGGGCCTCGGTCCTTCAGAGAGGCACGTGGACCCCCACCCCCAGTGGCTGCAGGTGACAGAGGCTGGGAGGCACAGCAGGAACGGGCCTGCAGGGAGGGGGTCGTCCAGGACGGTTGGCCTGGGGTGGTGACTCTGGAGGGTGAGGGAGGAGGCCCCACCTGTTCACACCGCAGACACAGAGGTGTCCTCGCAGGCCTGGGGGCCACATCCAGGATGAGTGAGGGCCTGGCCTCAGAGCACTTCCCTAGGGTGACCGGCACCAGTGGAGCTGGGCCAGCCTGGGTCTTTGACCTGCTCTTGGAGGCTCTTTACTGATAAAAGTCAGTAGGCGATTCTCTCCAAATATTCTCTCCATACATACACAGAGTAGTGTGTATATGCTTTTAAACTTTTTATGTGAGATGAAGAATCAGTGCAGTTGTGAGATGCGATGCAGAGACGCCCATGACCATTCACCCCGTCTCCCTAGGTAACGCCCCATGAACCTGCAGACCGACAGCTCCGCATCACAACCTAAAGCTGAGCTTGTGCAGCTGCAGACTTGCCCATGGTGAGTCTGTTTATCGGTTTACTTATCCCCAGGGACCCCACAGGGTCCCTGTGCTTCCCTTTGGGGTCACCCCCACCCCTACCCCTGGTAAGCACAGTCTCTTTTCCATCTTTGAGTGTTGTCCAGTGTGTGTGGGAGGCGTCCTCACTGAGCATCATTCCTTGAGGCCTGTCCTCCTTGTCCGCTCTCTGTATCCTTCCAGTCTGAGCATCTTCCACAGTCTGGAAGGAACACCTTTCCTGTAACCACTCATGGCTGAAGGACACCTGAGTTGACCCCATTTTTGGCTATTATAAATAATGCTTCCAAAAGCATTCACATACACATTGTTGTGTGAACATAATTTTTCTAGAGTAAAAACAGAAATCCTTTCAAATTCCTGAGTAAATGGTCCGAGGGGTCCCCAGGCCACTTTGGAGAAGAGCATGGAAGTGAGGGTTTACCTGGACAGCCGCCCACACAGGGAACAGCCCTCTGGGGGCCTGTGGCTCTGGGCTGCTCCTCCTGCTCCATCCCGGCTGGCAGCTGCCGGTTGAAAAAGAGTTTATTTTTGACGGCCCTGAGCAGACACTGTCTTCCGAACACCTTCAGTTTAACAGAATCAAATTATCACCTAAGAAGATCGTTCATGTTTCCTGTGGCTCAATATTTTCAAATGTACCAGTTTCAAAATTTTAACTGGTTACTTTGAAAAGGTTGGGGATGTAGACTTGGGATTCTGCTGTACTTGTAATAGAAAGGTAGTATTATTTTATGATTATTTCATAGCCATACCTGAAACAAAGCATCCTTCTCTTTCCTGATGATGTTGTGCAAACAAGATGGTTCTCCTTGCTTCTCAGACCACCAGGTGAGTATTAGCACCATTCTCATTTCACAGGTGAGGTGGAGTCAGTTTCTGAAGTTCTCAGAACTGGGGCAGATGAAGGTGAGTGGACACAGGCGGCTTGAGGAGAGTCCAGGACAGCCTCCCGAGCTGTCGGTCTTCTGAGGGGTCTGTGTGATGCCAGCTGAGACTTGCCTCTTGGATCCGACGGTGGGGTTCACTGTGTAGATGCTGCCAGGTGGTTTGTGTTTATCCGGTGTTAGCATCAGCCCCGTCCTGATTTAGGACCGGGGTCATCTCTCAGCAGCTGTCCTGAAAGCACAGCCGATTAAATAGATACTGATACACAGAGTTCTTTGTCTGCGGAAAGGATATACAAGTCAAAACACTTTTCCTGCAGCTCTCGGTTGGTCAGCGCGGACACATTGTGTTTCAGGACACGGTTCAGGGTTGCTTCCTCTAGCTGCCCACCCCCGTGCTGACCGCACACTTTCCTTCTCACTCACAGGAGGTGCTTCCTGTGCGAGCCCCCCCACCCACGGCCCGCAGCATCTCCGCGGCCACCTGGTTGCCCACTGCGTCCTCCTCCGGTGGGGAGCCCCCGCCCCCTGCAGTGACCACTCTGCTCGGAAATGGTCTCAGCCACAATTCTCTCTGCCCTCTCACTCTGCTGCAGTGAGAGGAGGCGAGGGGGGTTCTGAAAGCGGGGGTGTGGTTTTTGGCTGCCTGATCCATGTGGCCATGGGCAGCCACACACCAGTGCTAGTGAGGGACCCTCCTGCCCCCAGGCCCGGAGACACGCTGCCAGGACCACCCTCTGTCCGTCTTGTGGTCCGAGGGGCTTGGGGTCTGCAGAGTACACCCACGCGGCCTCTTCATGCTACTCACCCATGTCCCTGCCTCCAGCCCTTCATGCTGGACACTCAGCCCTGATTTCTGCTCAGGTTGAGTAAATGGTTTGTCAGTGTTTGTCTGTAGAAATCAGCCACTTTGCACCCCGAGACGTGGCCTCAGGAGAATAAACATTCTTTATTTCCAAATCGTAAGAGAGTTGGTCCCTCCTGTGTGGAGGAAGGCTTGTGGACTGGGGAATTTAGGACCCTGTCCTGGAGGACAGGTGGCTGCTGATCCCCCAGGCTGCTGTTGACGAGGTTTCTGGGAGGCTCGTTTATCCTGACTGTCCTGGGTGTTGTCAGCACAGGGGCTGGACATGGCTCTAATTTTGAGAACATGAAGAAGGAAGCTCTTGGCCAGATCAGTTTCTGAAACTCCTCTTTCCATGGCCGAAAGTAGCTCTGCTTTAACAAGCATTCTTTGCTCGCAGCTCTGCTTCTCATCTGGCCCAGCCTCCTGTGAAGTCATAGCTCTGTGATATGGCAGCCGTTACCAAGATGGAAATGATTAGGACGTCACGGGAGCTGGCACAGAATGGCCCATGTTCCGGACAGGACCAGGACCCCGGGTCCCAGCCACAGCTCTGCTGTCCGCCCAGTCCCGCTTGGTGGCTGGGGAAAGCCTCTTCGCCTTCCCCAAGTCAGTCCTCGCGGTCTGCTGGTCATGGCCTCAGAAGCTTGGATGCCTGCGCCTGGACCAGCTGTTGTCTGTTGTCCGTGGGGATGCTAGGCTCCCCCGGGTAATGGGATGAGGCAAGCCTTTCTGGGACACCTTTCAAGTTGGGAAACTGGAGCACAGGCTCTGAGAGAAGGCAGCTGCAGGAAGTCTGGCAGAGGCACCCATCCCCTCTGCTGAGAACAGGAATGAGCCTGGCTGTGGGCTTGGACGAGCTGGAGGGGGAGGACATCCCGAAGGACTGAGGAGGGTGTTTCTATACTGAAGATTAACCTCGGGGTTGCGGGGGGAGGGAAAGGCTCAGAGGGAGAGGACAGTGGTCATCAAACTTTTCCATAATCAAACTTTTTAGGAGAGTTTAGCTGAATCAGTCTAACCTTTGAGATAATGCTCTTTAGAAGAAAACAGAAGATGAGATTTTCACAGTGAGGGAACAAGCAATGTGAGACTTCACTGCTCTTGCTGCCCGAACCCAATCCTTCCTCACATAGTTGTCACCGTTCCCCTGGGAGACTGAAACCACACCAATCTCCTCTTCTGGCCTGGGGACTCCTTGTCTGTAGCCCCACTTGTGGGGGTGAGAGGCCAGAGCCCACCTACCTGCCTGTGCTCAGCTGGTGGGGCTGGTGTCTGGCCAACTGGTAGACCTGGTAGGTCTTCTGCCTGTCACACCCTCCAACTTCAGGGACTTTCACAGAAACATCCAGTTATCACCTGCCCACTTCAGTGGAGGAGAGGGGTCTGGACCACTGTGGACAAGTGTTAACTTCCTGGGTGTGAACAGATGAGAAGGCACAGCCTACATATATGATTTGTGTTTCATCTGGGGACTGTACAGAGGACTGTAGTCCAAAGGTGGCCTCTCAGTAGCTCAAGGGGCCATCCTGAAAAGGTCAGAGAGGAACCAGGATATATAGGAGCTCCTGGCTGAGAAAAAAATCCAGTTAACAGCAAGAGATATCTGCTGATCACTGAAAACAGATACCACCAGTTAGTGACTTTAATGCTTGTCTAGGTACGGGAAGATGCCAGAGTCTGATAGGCCGACCTGGTTCTCAGGGGTTCATCTGCCCGCCCTTGATCTCCCCCATTCAGGCGCAGGGCCGGCTCCCTAGAGCCTGGAGTCAGCATCTCAGCCTCAGCTCACCCCACCGCCTGCTCACCCTGCTTCCCCAGCCTGGCTCACCTGCCCCCATGTGGAGGGGCCTGTCTGGACCTGGTCCATGTCACTCAGAAGCCCCATTTTGTTGTGGGCCTGTCCCCAGAGCCCTACCCTTATGGCCACCTGCCCTCCAGGACACCTGCTGGGAATTTCAGAGGCAGCATGGCTACGACATCAGTGGTGGTGCCCCCTCCTCCCCCGCAGAAATCCCATTTCAGGAAATGAGACCACTGTCCACTCCGTCCACTGAGTAAGACAATGGGGCTCCCATGAGCACTTCCGTCCACCCCCTGCCCGCATGCCCAGCTGCTCTTCCTGCCTGTTTCCTCTCTCTGTGGCCCCCCTGGGGGTCCTCACCTCCCTTCCCACTGCTGTCCTTGGGTTCACCCCACAAGGCCTATGTTGGCCCCGCCACTCCCCCCGCCCTCCGCCAGGTCTCCCTGCTTCCCTTTGGTCGGCCACAGCCTTGTGTCCACACCCTGTAGAGAGCCCCTCCAAAAGCTTCCCTGAATCACAGACCCACAGCTGGCCCACGTTTCCTGACAACTCTCAGCATCCTGGTCCCCTCTGTCTGGGCTTTCCAAGCTGTGGGCAGCCCCGACCTCCCTCCAGAGCATAAGACCGCTTCCTTTCCCCAAACATCAGCTGTCTCCTCCTTGGCCCCAGTGCCCTGAGCTGCCCAGGACACACCTGCACAGCTCTGCATGGCCCTGCACGGCCTGGGAACTGCCTCCCAGGGTCACCACGCGGATCCTTGGGGCGCCTGTCCACACTCTGCCCGGCAGGTCAGGCAGGTTCTCGCCCATCCCCTCTGTTACTCTCTATTCCCTTCAAGAACATTTTTGCACACAGGCAGACAGGTGGTGTCCATGACAAACCCAGCCCCGGACAGAACCTGGCCTTTCTAGAAGGAACGGTGAACACCTGCTGGAGGCCCATGCCCACCTACTCACCTAATGACCAGCAGTAGGGGCAGCTGCAGTGGGCATCTCCCCAGGGACGGCCAGCCAGAACCGGAGGCTTCTGTGGAACCAGCTCCGGTCTCCTAGGACCAGACCCCACTTCTCAGGGAGCACCCATAGCCATGGGTGCTGGTTCCTTCCCACGGTGCATGGCTGGTGTGAGCTGCAGGGTCCAAACTGCCAGCAGTGGGTCTAGGTGGGGAGCAGGTGGTGTCTGCCTGCTCCATCCCCTAAGCAGAGGGCGGGGTCCAGGGAGCCCAGGAGAATCCCCCCGGGCCCTCTTCTTTGTGAGCTGGGATTTGCCCCTGGAGCTTGTTCCCCAAGGCAACCAAGTGCTGACAGTGCGGCCCCGAGTTTGAAACTGGTGGCTCTGCTTCTGCCGCTTCCACCCTCAGAGCAGAGGGCTGTGCGGTGACACAGGGACGTGCCCTCGTCTGTGTGTGACGCACGGGTGTCTTGTGTGTGACCAGTTGCACTGCAGTGAGCATAGCAGGAGCTCTTGCCAGCCTCCTGCAGCCTCTGGCTCTGCACCGAGGACCGGGTTCCTGTTGTCTGTCTGCCACTGGGCTCCCTGGCTGAGCTCCCCGTGCAGATCCACCAGACTCAGCCCACCCTTCAGCCTCAGGGTCTTGTCTTTCTAGCTCCACCTCCTTCTCCTGGGCCCCAGTGTCAGCCTCCTTCAGATAGCGCTGACCCTGCAAGCCCCCCTCTCCGCCTGTGTTCCCCCTGCTTCCAGTGATTCGTTCATGGGACTGTTCACTTCTCCAGCCTATCTGATCCTCCCCTTCCCTGGCCCTGAGTCTGTGACCTTGGGCTCTACATCCAGGGCAGACCCTGTCCAATCCAAGCAGAGATGCTCCTTGGGTGTAAAGATGGTAAAAGGCCTCATTAGTCATTTTTGTCCCTATCCTTTGGACAGCAAGGAGATCAAACCAGTCAATCCTAAAGGAAATTAACCCTGAATATTCATTGGAAGGACTGATGCTGAAGCTGAAGCTCCAATACTTTGGCCACCTGATGCAAAGAGCATTGGAAAATACCCTGATGCAGAGAAAGACTGAAGGCAGGAGGAGAAGTGGGTAACAAAAGATGAGAGATGGTTGGATGTCACTACTGAGTCAATGGACATGAATTTGAGCAAACTATGAGAGATGGTGAAGGACAGGGAAGCCTGGTGTGCTGCAGTCCACGGGGTTACATAGAGTCGGACATGACTGAGCTACTGAACAACAAAGTAAATTTTGTGTCAGTTATGTGTAGAGTTGGTAATATTTTAGATAAATGGAGTAAAAACATTTTAAACTGATTTCACCTATTTTTTCTTAGTCTCTTAGTGTGGCTACTGGAAAGCTTAGGTCACACCATGGCTTACATTGTGACTCATATGAGAATCTGCTAGAAGGAGCTGCCTCCATCAGGCCATAAATGTCAGCTGCCTCCTCTGCCCACACTCCCATTCTATGTCCCCTCTGCTTGAAACAAACTCCTATCCTTTATTGTTTGCTTTTTTGGGCCTACATTGCTCCCCTTTCAAGATTGAGTTAAGAACCCCTGTTTGAGTTTCCAGAGACTGTGAGCTCCCCTTCATCACAGTACACAATGTGTCTTTCCTTCTGTGAGAACAAGAATGGGTGTTATTTTACTTAGGTTTATCCCTAATGCCTGCTGTATGTCCCTGACAGGCAGGCGATACGTGATGCTGAACCGAGCTGCAGAGCAAAGCCCGTCTTACGTGGGAAGCAGGCAGACCGATATCACTTGGAGGGTCGTAAAAGTTAAACACTGATGTAACAGACGTCTGCAATCATATTATCTCTAACGTGTAAATAAGTTCGCACTGACTCATGAGAAATCGGTATGAATTGATGAGCCAGTGAAGAGACTAAGGTGCAGATGTTGTTTATTCAACAAGTAAGCCAGGCGCTTGCGTTTGTCCAGAGTCCACACGGTACATGGGCACTTCCCGACTTTGACACCCTTCTACTTAGAGCTCCAGTTGATTGTGAGGGCAGATTATTCCTGCAGATAATGTTAATTCCATTTTTATGTAAAGCTTGGTTGCCATTAGGTAGTAGTCATGTAATAAAATTTGGAATTCTTGATAAGGTAAAGGTACAAAGGTATGAAAAATATTTAAAAATACAAGCTGGTGTCTTCCAGCTGAAAGCCCCGGCCTGCGAGGTCTGCTCAAGGTTGGCCTCCTGTCCTCTGGTCTTGGGGGTGAGTCTGTGCTTCTCCCAAACCCGACCTCCCTGCCCAACCTTCAGACACGCTGAGCTTTCAGGTGGGGAGGCCGCCTTCCCCCGCCTCCTCCTCTTGGAGGGACCCCGACCTCAGACCTTCCCAGCACCACAGGCCACCCCCCTCCCCTCATGATGTTCAGTTCAGGGCCCGAGTGTGGCCCGAGGTGGCGCCGCAGACTCTGAGGGTCAGCCTGGGGCCTCCGCAGTGTGGTCCTGGCTGTTTCTGCTGGTTTGAGTGGGTTTCTGTCTCCTTTAAACACAGAGACAGGGCAGCAGGCAGACAGCAGGGCAATCAAGCCTCAGGCTTGCAAACTCGGGCAGTCTGCTCACCTCTGAAACTCGGTTTCCCCATCTGTAAACAGGGGGTAACCCAGCACTGCCTCGCAGGGCTTCCATGGGGGGTCCTCAGGCCCGTGGGTGGAAGAGCACAGCCGTGCCGGCTGCAGAGCGACGGAGTGGGGATGCCCCGACCCCTTCCTGAAACCCCGGGAGCTGCTCAGTTTGAGAAACAGCAGCCTCCTTCCCAGAGTTGCTGAACGGCCTCTTTGTCTCAGTCGGCCGTCTTGATAAAGTTAGGCAGGAATTCAGATCTTCAAGGGCTTCATGTCTTTATCTTTGGAGTGGCCGGGGACCTTCTGGAGTGTGTGCCTGGCGCTGCTCCCTGAAGGCTCTGCGGAGCCTGTCCTCTGCTTATCTCCCTGGGAAACGTCAGCTCGGTTTCTCCGGCTCTGGGATCCCTCACCATCCACCAGGCGTGGGGCAAAACGTTCAGCC